AACCATGGGCAGGCCTCTGTGGCAGAATTTTTGTATTAGGGGACCAGCCGGTGGCGTCATGATTACATTGCTGGACTCTTGAGTCCCAGGTTTGGTGGCTTAAAACTCATGCCAGGGGGACCAGCAGTTAGTGTAATGGCTATGTCGCTGGACTCCCATGTAGTCGACCGCGGTTCACGTCCCAGACCCGGTGACTTAAAACTCATGCCAGGTGCGTGTGCGTGCATGCTCAAGATCCCAAGAGGGCATGTGAGGAGAAGTGATTGTGGCATAGCCATCCCCCGTGGGGGGTGATTTCTTGCTTTCTGTTTCTCTGTCTCTGTCTGTCTGGTGAACACACATGCCCTATAGGAAAACCCTCTCAAAAAAAAACAATAAAAAAAAAAAAAAACTCATGCCAGGCATGTATGTGTGCATGCCCAAAATCCCAAGGGGAGAATGGAGGAGAAGGAATTGCAGTGTGGCCATACCCCTGGGGGATGATTTCTCACTTTCTGTCTGTCTCTCTGGCGAGAACAAGTGCCCTATAGCAAAATTTTCTCTACAAAAAAAAATTTAAAAAATGAGTTTTTACATTGGTTCTTGCTACATTTTTATATTAATATTCCAAAATTTAAACAAAACATTTAATTCTTAGCTTTTTCTTCATAAGAATCAGAGAGCAAAATCACTGGGATAGGTGAAAAGATATTTCCATAAATGGTTTGAAAACAAATCTACCATTATACCAAGGATAGTTCATTTTTTTTCTCTTTTTATTCCAAAAACCTAGGCGAAATTTTTAGCATTTTCCTGTCTAATCATTTTCGACAGACTACATTATAAAGTTTCTCTTTACATATTCACTGATTAATTTGTGTACTGACTTACAGCCTCCCCAATTTCTTCCTAAATTGAAAAAAGTATATGCTTGGGGCCAGCAGGTGGCATGGTGGCTAAGGGTGCTGGACTCCCCACATGGCTGACCATGGTTTGAGTCCTGGACCTGATGAATTGCCTTCTCTCTCTCTCTTTCTCTCTCTCTCTGTCTTTCTCTGGTCAAATTAAAATAAATCAAAAATTTTTTTTCAAGTATGTGCTTAAAATAAAAGACAATATATATTTAGTGAAAAAGAATGTGAATAATATCTTTAAAACTAAAAATAAAAAAGATGACCTATGGTACCAGTACTATTAAAAATAAACATCTAAAATTATTATGATTGCAGGACCAGCAGTTGGCATAATGGTTATATTGCTGGACTCCCACATAGTTGACCGTGGTTCAAGTCCTGGACCTGGCAGCTTAAAACACATGTCAGGCATGTGTGTGTGTGTGCATGCCTAAGATCCCAAGAGGAGAATGGAAGAGAAGGAATTGCAGCATGGCGACCCCCCCCGGGGGGGGGGTCATTTCTCACTTTTTGTCTCTCTTTCTTTGTCTCTACGGAGAGCTCATGTCACCTATAGCAAAAACCTCTCTTTAAAAAATTACTATGATTGGGGACCAGCAGTTAGCATAATGGCTACGTCGCTGGACTCCCACGTAGTCAACCGCGGTTCGAGTCCCAGACCCGGCGGCTTAAACTCATGCCGGGGCGCATGTGCATGCGTGCCCAAGATCCTGAGAGGAGAATGGAGGAGAAGGGATTACGGTGTGGCCATCCCTCTGGGGGATGATTTCTCGCTTTCTGTCTCTCTGTCTCTGTCAGGCTGGCTGGCGAGCGCATGCGCCCTATAGCAAAAACCTCTGAAAAAAATCATTATGGTTGCTATTTGAGAATTATTTTACTTACTTTACACATAGACTTTTCAGAAAGAACTATATCTCAAATTTATGTACATAACAGTTTTGTAAATAGCAAGACAGACATCATTCATTGTCTTTCCCGCAATCTTAGGAAAAAGCATCCAGTCATTCACTATTATTAAGCATCAAGTTAGTTATAGGATTTTTCTTAATATTCTTTATCCTATAAGAATATTCCTTTCTATTACTAGTTGGCTGAGAGTTTTGTTCATGAATAGACATTGGGATTTTTTCAGATAATTTTCCTGTACTAACTGATAGTAACATACAGCTTTTCTTCTTTAGAATATTAAATTAGTGGATTATGTTGTATGATTTTCAAATATTAAAAGTCTTGTAGTCTTAGCATTAATATCAATTGTCATGGTGTATTACTGTTTTTATATTAACATATTGCTGTATTCAATTCACTATTATTTTGATTATTATTTTTTTTTAGAGATTTTTGCTACAGGGCACATAAGCTTGCCAGAGAGATAAAGAAAGATAGAGAGACAGAAAACAAGAAATCACCCCCCAGGGGGTACAGCCATGCCACAATCTCTTCTCTTCCATTCTCCTCTCAGGATCTTAGGCACGCACACATGTGAGCCCAGCATGAGTTTAAGCCACTGGGTCCAGGACTCGAACTGTGATCGAATACATGGGAGTCCAATGACATAGCCATTATGCCAACTTGCTAGTCCCCCGAGTATTTATTTTTTTAATCAGAGAGTTCTTGTGCTTGTGTGTGTGTGTGTGTGTGTGTGTGTGTGTGTG